AGAGAGCCTTCAGGGCCTCCACATGGCTCCTCGTGATTTGGAGGTGAAGAAGTGGTGGGTGCGCAGTTTGCAAAAAGATGCAAATGGGCGTGATTTCTACAGCTTGCGGAATTCTCTTTCAGGAGGCAAAGCGTGTGGGTGCAGAACTCTGGCACTGTTCTGTCTTTCTGATTTATTTCATTTATTTAAGTTTGAAAAGCTTTCTCATCCCGTCCTCTCACAGAGGTCTCAGGACCGTAGAGGCGGTGTGCTTGTCATTCTCATGGGAGCTTGCCGTGTGTTTCGTGTGCAATGCCAGCAAGCCTGGATTCACCGTGAGATAGAGGCACATGGGTTTAAGTCTGCAGCTGATCAGCGCTCCCCGTCAGGGGAACCTCACATGCCGCGTGTGCTTGCAAGCAGCTGTCGCAGTGCGTTTGTCGGAATGCTTTGTGGGAATGCCTCTGAGCACGCGATACACGAAATGCCAGCCACACTTCCAGAGAGGTCGTCTGAGATTGCAGCCATTTCACAGTTAGTGTTGGCATGGGATTCCATGCCGAAAGTTCGGACTAGCTTCCAGAGGGACACGTTCCCCTGCTTAAACCTGCCCTGCAATAATGCATTTGAACAAGTGGCCAGAATCTAAAGAAAACAGTAAAAACAGCCGCACAAGAGAGAACTGGCGTGGCTGTGGATTTTTCCTTCCCTCTGGCACAGTTCAGGACAAATGTGCTTGATGCAGGCAAGAGCGATCAGGCAGAGGAATCTGTGGCTGTGGGCTAGATCCTGCCTTTAAGCAAGCACCAGGCGCTCTCCCAGCCCTTGCCCTTTGTGGCTTCTTTGAGCTTGCCCCTGGCAACTGGCCAGAGACATCAGGAGCAAATGCATCCCTGCATGATGGTGTAATCCCGGATGCAGGATTGCACCACCCGGGATTACAGCACCCTGGAAAATATCCCTGGACTCAGAGATTCATGCCACTTGAAGTCCAGTGACAAATACTCCCTTGTGGCTAAGCTGCTTGAGAGAGAAGGTTGAGAGAGACCACCCAATTCCAGGAGGTCTCAATTAAACTCAGGGCTTTTTTTGTCATAGAACGCACCGGAACGGTGTTCCGGCACCGTTTTTTGATGGATTTTTCTAAGTGATTGTGACTCGCCCTGTTATTAACATTAATCATTAGCATAGTGCCTGCGGGCTGCTTGTGTGTCCGCGCTGATTGTGAGGGTGCTGCTCGGCTTGGGATTGCTCGTGTGGTCACGCACTGAGTGCTTACTGCCAGCAGTGACCATTGTGCTTGTGTGTGTGTAGAGTGACCGGCTACGTGCAAAAGGTAAATAAGTTCTTTATTTCAAAAACAGTTGGTGAATTGAAAATCTTTTTTAGTGTAAAAGTGTGACCCCAAGACGTGAGTTCCAGCACCTTTTTTTTTTTTACAAAAAAAGCACTGATTAACCTGATGAGCATAACTCATTCCAGTCTGGACCGGGGCCCAGTTTTGGGATGGAATCAGCCCTGGGCACCTTCCTTGGGAGCAGGATGGGGGTGCAACCTCGTTAAGTCTCCTCAGCCTCCCCTCATCTTTGGATCGGCTGCCCACGGTAGCCTCCAAGACCACTGCTGTGAGTTGAGAGAAAGCAGCGTTGTTGGGCAATGTTTCAGCTCTTACTTGTAGGGTTGGTTCCAAGAAAGCCATGGGACGACTCCCTCTCAGTCCCTGGCAGCAAAACTGTGGGTGCCACAGGGAACAGGTGTGTTCCTAATGTTATTCAAGAGCCACTGGGAAAGGTCACTGGAAGATCTGGGGCAAAGCATCACTAGGGATGGTGCTGACTCCCAGCTTTCATTGCAGGTAACATCCAACCCAGGAGAGGTCGTCCAGACCCTGAGTCGGATGTTCTCCTGCCCGGGATGGAGGCTAAGAAGCTGAAGCTGAATTGTGATAAAACAGGAGTCCTACAGGTGAACTATGAAGCCCTGTGGGTCCTCTGTTTCACAGGTCTTGGACCTGGGTGTTTACCTGTTCCACATGGCCTTGCACGCTCTCCAAGAGAGCAGGTGCATCATCTAGCGATGCTTCTATCTCCACCTTTTAATCCTTTAATTCTGAATTCATTTTAACGCTGTTTTGTTTTTATGGTATTTGCTTTGCTTTGCTTTGCTTTATACCTTGTTGTAAACCACCCAGAGAGCTTTGACTATGGGGTGTTACAGAAATGAAATGAATAAACAAATAATTCTTGACATTCCCAACCTGGAATGGTAGAGCTCGGCCACAGGGATCCGTGACTGCTAAGCCGACAGTCCGATTATCGTCACAGGCCCTGCATAGGCCTGTCTTTGCACCTGGTTTGGAAAGTACCACTAGTACAAAATGCGTGTTGCAGCTTTGTTAAAATCACCGCACCGGCCGCCATCTCACAGCACGGATGTTGAGATTCAAAGCCCGAGACAACCTGGGGCAGGTTCCTCAGCGGATGGTCTTCGCATGCAAACACCTCCCAAGGAGAAAATTGGCCATTCCCCAACCAAGAGTGACCTGGTTCGCACATCACGAGGAACGACCTCTAGCTCATCCGTGACTTGCAAGCAGGATCGACTCTGTGCTGTGGCACCCACCCTCTGTGGCATCCCCCCCCCCCCGCACCACATGTGTTCAGAGAGAAACTAAAGAACCTCGAACGCCTCTCAGAAACGCAACGCTTCGCTCAGGGCTTGAGGACTGATCGCGACGCGGCTCCTTCCTCGTTCTGCCATGCGTTCGTTTTATACTGTTTAGGGACTCGTTTTTATCTTGCATTGTGCTTTTTTTTCCCTGTAAACTGCTTGGAAATGTTGGGATGTTTTGCGACAGTGCAGAAGCTGCATCATTGTGAAATGGGCGGGTTTTTCTCCATTTTTCAGATGGGAACACACATGAAATTTACAGTTCTAAATGTTATTATTTTTTGATAACCTAACACAAGTAAAAGGTTAAAGTCAGGATGCACAGATAATACAATCTAGGCAAATAGGACATACCCTTTAAATAAACTAGACAGGCCAAGCCTGCCCCCAAATCTCTGACTGAAACATGTGTCGCCGTTACAGTTTTTTGACTTTTCCAGCCAGACCCCAAGATGGACAAGGTATTCACTGTCGCCCAAACTAACTGGGTCGGTGAACTACTAAGGGCCGATCTAAGAGAAGTCGGTGTCCCGTTTCTATCCAACCCACCTCATGCTGGATTTCCCCCACGAAGGCAAAGCAGCTGCGAAGAGCAGATCAGGTTTTGAATAGGAGAAATATCATGTTAAAAGGGATATATTCCTATCGCAAAACAGCTTGGAGGGGCCGTTCTTTGGCGGAGGGCGCCTCCGGTACATCGCAAGGGTGGGTCTCCGCAGGAAAGAGGCTTGCGCTGACGGGCCAGCGTTTGTCATCGGTTTTAACCACTTCAGAGCCAGGCCTGATCACACCAAACGTCTTTCTGGCCCAAGTTCCCCTTCCATTGCAGGGTCTGTACTTTGCAGGTGCTACTTAAATCTCCCCGCAACTGGGGAAGGAAGGGAGAAGGAAGAAGAATGGCAACTCTTTATGCTTTTAACTTATGAAGGCAGGATTACGTCTAATTTCTCAGGAAGTGGTTACAGCCGTTCCTGAGGTCCTGCAATCTGACCAGGCTGAAGCAGCTGTGCTTATGGCTGCATTTCCTCCTTGCACTGGAAGGAAAACCACAGCAGATTTCTGGACTTTGCAATTTGAAAACCTACACCGCAATTTTAAGAATAATTGTTTAATACGTTAAATAACTTTAATATAAACATACTTCACTGTACACATTTGGGTTTGGCTGATTTGTACTGAGTAGGCCATCAGTTCCTTTATGGAGATGAGCACTTTATTTAGGAGAGGATTTAAGGAAGCATAATTTTCATTGTTTTACAGATGCAGGTGGTTTCCTCTATATTATTCATTTTTGTGTCCGCTTCTCATACACTGCGAAGACCAAAAGTTTCCTTACAGGTTAGGACGCAAGGAAGCTGATAAAAGTGTGAACAAGTTAATCCAATTTGCAATTATTGTCTGAATGACTCTACTTCTCATAGGCCAAACCAAGTTATATACATTTTATGTTCCTACGGTAATATATTGACTGTAAATCTGTAAAGCGTGCTAATACTACAATTCTTCCATTTTTCCAAAAATTTCTTTTCTTTCTTTCTTTTTCTTTTTCTTTTCTTTTTTTTCAAAAAACAGGGAAAACTTTTTTCTGTGATGACTTCAACATTTCCATAAATGTTATATTTCTAGCCCTGGAAAAGTAGGCCGAGGTTCTGAGCATCCCAGGAGAACCTATTTTAAAGAGCCAGAACTTGGGTTGTAGAATTTTTATGCTACCATTCTACCTGCGTCTGGTCAAAAGAAAGCTACTCAGTGGGAAGGCCAAGTTTGAGTCTGGTCAGTTCTTCATTGTTCCAACATTGAGTTAATTCTATTCAATTTCAACATTATTTTGTAACGTTTCAAAAAGTCTTCATCAACACACATAATGCCCATTTCCCCTAACAGACACATTTTAATGCTCTTTTCCTAATAAATACACTTTTGCTAGAAATTGCCACCGGTTGTGTACCATTTCCCCTAAACAGAAGGTATTTTTGATATATTTTTGGTATACTTCTCAATTTGCAAACTGTATCACCAACATCAGAAAAGTACACACATCACCAAACTAATTGCCTTTTGGCTTGTGTGCTGCTTTGGAAAGTTCGTTCTTCTCGCTGCCCCAATCCTACCAGAAGTTCCTTTCCCTCCCCTCCCGCTTCCCCCATGTCATTGCAAGAGAGCACAGCGGAACCATTCATAACTGGAAGCACCGCGAGGGGAAAAGCCACGCAGGAGTGCAGGAGCTGCTGAGTGCATCCAAAAGCAGCAGCCCTTCCTTTGAGGATCCTTGCCAGGAAATACCCTGTGGCTCCCAGGAGGCCCAGCAAGCCCTCAGACGCCGCCATGATGGAAAGCGTTTCTGCACCTACTTGAAGAAGTCTTCTTTGCAATAGACGCTCCCGGCTCTGCAGAAGCATCGGTCTGCCAGCTGCATTTGGCAATCTGCACACTTGAGGCAAGAGCCGTGCCAGTGCCGGTCGAGGACTTTCAGGATAAACTTATCCAGGATGTGCTGGCTGCAGCCAGCGCACTGGGGGATCTCTGGGGGGGGGAAGAGAGAGAACAACATCAGCCCCCAGGAAAAACACAAAAGCAAGCCAGTTGCTAAGCAAGAAAAGGCGGTGTGAAGCAAGCAAAACTGTCCCCATCAGCGCCAGCTCTGCAGTGCCTGCTGGCTTGCCGTAAAGACCGGCGTGGGACAGCGCAAATGATCGGTGCCCCATGGCTTACGGGAGCCAGCAGCTGAATTTGCACCTGCACAGAACCTTGACCCCGGATTTATCATGCAACTTGCCAGCAAGTTCCAGCGCACTGCAGCAGGGCATCAGATTCTTATCAGGTAGATTTGGGGTTGGTGCGTGTATTAAGGCATCCAACAGAGCCTTTTCCTCTTCAACATCTGAACCCTTTCCATGCGTGTAGCCAGTGGGTGAGAATCACCTGCTGAAATTATCCCCTGGCTAAAAGCAAAGCTGGGATGTTGGGGACAGTCATTCTGCCTTGCCTTCTCCTTGACATCTGTGGGATCTCCTTTTCATTCAAATATACACTCAACCCGTCTCAATTACAGTCCAGAGAAAGCTTTACCACTCTGAGAACATGTAAACTGGCTTTTAATTCAGTTTTCAGAGGTTGGAACTCTTCTGGGGTCCTTGTCAGGAAGCAGCCAGGCAAAGCAAATTGGAGGTACCTGCAATGGGAGGAAACCTTTACTCCATCAGGCAATTTTCCTGATTAAAACCACCTCCAGGAGCTATTTGCCCCTGGAGAGAAATATAAACCTTTATAGCAGGTGTGGGGAACATGTGCTCTGTGTGTTGGACTACGGCTCCCATCATGCCTCACTATTGGCTTTGTTGGCTAGGATTGGTACAGGCTGCAGTCCGTCGGTTTCTGGAATGATGCACATTCCGCACACTTCCCGTACAATATCTGCATTTTCCACTGGAGGGCACATAGCGTGAGTGATGGCTAGATCTCAGCTGGGAAAATGGCGCAAGAGAAGGACTAAAACCCTTTGAACCAGTCCAGATCCGGCTGACCCACGCGAGGGCTGCCATGGGCCTCAATTCCAGTTTCGTCCTTACCTGGTGATAAATTCTGGCCAAAGACAACTCAGAAGTTTTAATATACCTGCAAAGAAACTGCTCTTCTCAAAGCCAGCACTTTGCTCATCTTGCAGAATGTGAAAGTTTGGAGTCGCCCTGGCCAAGTTTTTTATTACTTTCGTCTGAGTCCTAGATTGATCTATTCGGCCTCACCAAGTCAGGAAGCCCTGCAAAACTTCTGCTATTAACTTATTCATAAAACCACAGCTGCTCAAAAATAAATATATTTTTAAAGATGTTATAGCAGCTAAGAACAACTTGAAAATTAGAAGTGGGGTTGTAAGAACAAGTCAAGAAGGCCAGAATTTTGCAGGGAGAGAGCCCATAGTCTGTAATTCAAACTGTGTTGGTTAAAGCAGCAAACAACAACCAGATCTGCAATTTTGCAATCCAATGTTTAGGATTAGAAATGTGACCAGGTGCTGTGAGTGCCTTTGCAGTTCATAGAAATGGAAGAGCAGTACAAAGTCACAAAAAAAAAAGACCGGAAGCACCAAGAAGGGAGCTCACCTGGTTTCTGTCCCTTGAGCAATAGATGACCCCCTAACCTCTCCCCTTCCCCATATAAAATTATGAATCACCTACAAAATCCAAAAGAGATGCAACAGACTTGGCAGAATTTACTTTTTAGTGTAACATACAGACAACGTAGAGAGTAAAGCCAACTTTATTTTTCTATTCGGTGACAATCTGAATGCATTTTTTCAGGCCTGCATGGCATGTCTTCCATGGCAAGAAGCCAAGACAGCTGCCAAAGTGGACTCTCAGTTCATCACACGAAAGATTTCACCCGCGAAGTACAAACTGGAGCAAGCATGCAAGAAATCCACTCCCTCTGGCTTTACGCATGATGTCCCAGGCTTCATTTTCATGTGCCCTCACAGGCAAGATCACGCTTCTTCACTTTACTGCATTCAGGTTGCTCGGCAAAACAACCGCTATACCTTTCAGTCAGTGTCCACTCTCAAGGCATGACGTGGTCTCCCTCCCACAAGCCAGCAGAGCAGAAATGCCTCTTGTGACAACGGGTTTCCCTTTGGTATCGTTTCCGAGGGGCGATCTGGTGGGCGCATCACAGCTGCATCGTTCAAACTCCAAGGGTGTGCAGCGCCGGGGTCCTTTGACTGCACCCAGCACCCAGCCTTCCCTGGGCTTCCAAACGGCAGGTAATGCTCTCAAATCGGCATTCATTCACAGGTGTGCGCGCTTGGCAACACACTGCGCTTCCTACATCAATGGTGACAGCAGTGGATGCCACCCATTAAATATTTCTCCAGACAGACACACACGCCCTTTCCTTGTCTTGCATCCAATCAGACTAATGCCTTCTGAGCCTTTTCATCAACACTGAATTGATGGAAAAGGAGCTGGGAGGTTTGCCTTGAAGAAATTTGTCACCGTGCAATCCAGTGCGTTTCTATTCAGTTAGAAGCAAGTCTGAGGGACTTACTCCCAGGTAAGTGTGCATGCGGTTCCGGCCAAAAAAAAGCAGGAATGGCTTTGCAGAATGACAGGCTCATAACCTGAGCCATTTTCGTTATGAAACACAGTAGTAGAAAACAGCTTGTTAATTCCTGGCAGGCACTCTATAGTTATCACTTACTATCTTACACAGGCATTTCTGTTCTCAGCGTGAACAAGACAAGACCTTTATATACCATTTGGTCAATAAAGGCACATGAGGAAGTCCATTGTCTTTCTAGCAACAATAACCAGCACCGTTTTTTAATTTAGATATTTGGGGGTCATTTTTGGAAATCACCACATAGGGTGTGGAAGCTGGAGAGTGAAGAAAGCTGAGAGAAAGTGCTTGAACCATGGTGCTGGAGAAGAGCTTTGTGAATACCCCGGACTGACAGAAAGACAAAAAAAGAGGGTCCCAGATCAAGTCAAGCCAGAGCTTCGCCTAGAAGCAAAAATGACAAACGGAAGCTGCCGTACTTTGGGCACAGCACGAGAAGGCAAAACTCCCTGGAGAAGACGATCCTGCTAGGAAAAGGTGGAGGGAGGAGAAGAAGAAAAGAAAGACCAGCTAGGTAGGAGATGGGTCACTTCCATAAAGCTAACCGTGGCCTTGCATTTGCAAGAGCTGAGCAAGACCATTTGGAGAGCTTTCATTCAAAGAGTCATCATAAGTTACAAGATGATTTGATGGCACATGATAACAACAGTTCTGGAAAACTTGCTTGGCAGTATCTTTAGCCATCTAAGGACCTCTTCTTTTTTTGTTTGAACTCATATTTTTGAAACTGAACTAACTGAAGTGTGCTCCCAGAAAACATTCACCTTTCCTTCAGATACAGACAAACCTAGCCTATAATAGTTTTTCCCGTGTTATCATCAATACAGCTCTCAAAATATGAATGATTATTGGAAATTAAGAGCCAGTGGCAGCTATAAAGATGGTAGGAATCCAGAATGTTCCATGCCTGGGTGCATGAGAAGACGTCGTGATGGGGATCAGCGGAAGACAGCCAAAACTGAGGGCTGCTTCTCTTTGTGACCAGGAGCAGTAAGTGAATCTTAACGAAACAATAGAAAACCCTCCAGGGTCACTACAGTATGTTCGTTTTGTAAAGCTTTTGGGGGTGTGGAGAGAAGCGAGCATGAGGCGAAAAGCTTCTGTATACATTAAAATCTCCCTCCAGTTGCTATAAATAGATCCCAACCTTTGATTTGGGTGGAGCAAAACAAGGAAAGATATGGGATAATTTGCCAGATGAGGAGAGCTGTTTTTGGAGAGGTGGAAAGGGGTAGCCACCATTTTGCTGGCCTTTGTTGTTTGTTTTGCTTTGTTGTTTTTTTACCACAAAACTGGCTAGCAGACAGAATGCGGTTTTACTGGTCAGACCAGTAAAATACTGGTCTGAGTGGTGACTTGGTCTATATATAACCTGCCTGTCTGTAGGCAGAATAGGCTAGACGGATGGGGATAGCTGGGTGTTCATCTCTATTTCTCTCCGCCTATAGTTCCGAATAATGGAAGGCGTTGTAAAAGTCTGCCAGGGGGAGATTACCCAGTAAAAGCAATGCACATAAATTCCGATATACATGCCTGAAAGAAGATTGATTTCTGAAGAAGCGAACTGCAGAGCAGGTATGGAGTAATATTGCCAGAGATGTTTATGCATCAGAGTCTTCCCCGCTCTCTTTTTATTTTTCTTTTCTTTTTGCTCTCCTCTCGGATGGCCCTGGGGTGGCAGGAGACTGACTCACAGTAAATATCCAGGATTTGTTGCCCTTTTATGCCACCACAAATCCTCTTGATAGCCAGGAAGGCTTCTCAGAAGCAGGAGTGATGGGAGCTTTTGTACTGAAATCCAAATGAAACGGCCGGGCTGATTGGCTTATTTACTGTGGGGCGCTCCGTTGCTGGAGGCAGGCGGGGGGCTCGAGCAAGCGGCAGCTGGAGTGGGCGCCCCATGGGCCCTCGCACTGCATAGGCTATGAACCTGCAGAAGGCGCAGCTGTTGTAGCAGACGAAAAACCAAAAATTGCCCAAAAATGTCCCCGGGACGAAAGGAACGGATACGTGCATGGCAGGAATGACCTTTCTCATGCCATCTGCAGCTCTCTAGGGCAACTGCCTCCACTTCCAAGCACATGGGCAAGGACTGCTAGCTGCTGGGGCTTTCCAAAAAGCACGGTGAGGGGTGTCTCGCCGCCTGAGAACGACAGCCAGCCCCTCGTCTTCAGGAACAGAGACGGTGCCCCAAGCTGCCCTGCCTTTCTCCTGCCTCCTCTCCCACCAAGCCCATTTTCCTGCTCCAAGATTTATATTCAGGTTCAAGCCCAACACCTGAGAGGGAGCAAGTGCCGTGCCGGATGGAGGGAGAGCGCAGCTGAGCATGTGCAAAGCGGAGAGGAAACCTGCCTAGGCCAAAAGCAGGTTTCTGACCGAGCAGCTGGCAGGGTGCCAAGCTGGGTGCAGCT